CGCATTGCGTGATAATTTTGGTTGAAATACGAATTTTTAAGAGCCTAGACTTGCTATTTATTTTGCATCGTTTCTTAGGACAGGGGCATGCATACCTATGCGAGTGATGAGGCTACTGCTATGACCCTCATCCAAATATTTCAGAGCTAATGTAACGATGAAATAAGTTTATTGAATTAAAAACTCTACTAAAATACGCCTAAAATTAATGCACGAACTAGGTCCCTAGGAAAATCACAATACTATCATCCAATAATTATGCAAGCACGTATTACTGGAGTCCGTAGATGGTGCACTGCTGGCATTTAAATGAGTCTGCCTCTATATTCATGCTGAGCGCAACACAGTCCGACTGCTGCCGTGACGTCGCCGCCGTGTATTGATCGACCGTCCGTTCGCCTCCACCACCCGGCCACCTGGGATGCTCTGCCCTCGCTGCTTTATGTTCCCTCGTTGTATCCTCCTTTACTTTAGGGTCATGCTTATATTTCCCCTCTTTGTATCTTCTGCCCTCACTGCTTTATGTTCCCTCTGTTGTATTCTTCTTTACTTTAGGGTCATGCTTATATTTCCCCTCTTTTGTATCTTCTGCCCTCACTGCTTTATGTTCCCTCTGTTGTATCCTTCTTTACTTTAGGGTCATGCTTATATTTCCCCTCTTTTGTATCTTCTGCCCTCACTGCTTTATGTTCCCTCTGTCGTATCCTTCTTTGCTTTAGGGTCATGCTTTATATTCCCTCTTTTGTATCTTCTGCCCTCACTGCTTTATGTTCCCTCGGTTGTATTCTTCTTTACTTTAGGGTCATGCTTATATTTCCCCTCTTTTGCATCTTCTGCCCTCACTGCTTTATGTTCCCTCTGTCGTATCCTTCTTTGCTTTAGGGTCATGCTTTATATTCCCTTTTTTGTATCCTCTGCCCTTAGCTATTTATGTTCCCTCGTTAGTATACTCTACCCTCAGTACAGTATTTATGTTCTCTCCTTAGTATCATCTGCCCTTAGCTATTTATGTTCTCTCGTTAGTATCGTCTGCCCTTAGCTATTTATGTTCTCTCGTTAGTATACTCTGCCCTCAGTTATTTATGTTCTCTCGTTAGTATCCTCTGCCTTCAGTACTTCTCCCTTCCGAGTTTTAGGGCCATATTTTATGCTTCCTATCTTATACTTGTTGATTTTTCTTGCTCCTGCTATATTTTCCCTAAAATTGTATCCTTCTCTAGGATCTTCTTCGTTCCCGCGTCAGTTATCGGCGCTACAATACGGCCTGGCTTTTGTGTTGTTTCTGCAGTATTATTGATCATGATTCAATGTTTTGTTCAGGATATCTACGAAGATTGTTTTTCTGGGCTGCCAACGTTTTGAAATTTATTCTTTTAATAATTTGTATCATAATTGACTTCTTGAGAGCATTTTTTTAAGCTGATGTCCTTTATGAGGTAAACAAAATCACTTAGAAATTAGCTATCCACACACCAATGTAACGCACTACAGTGATATGTACGTTACCGTTTTGTCAATGCAGCAGCTCGTACATACTGCCATGTAGTTTTATGTCAAGCAGAAAACATCAACACAGCATTGTTTGATGGATTTTTTTTTTCGAAAATTTTATTGGTCGATGATATCTACGAAGGTTAACTGGGACATTTTTAATGAGGAGTTCCGTGCCATGCTGCTGGCAAGAGAACAGTCGGGCAAGAGCGGCTCCATCATACAAAAAGACCAGTACGGCAAACCACTGTGAGTATATGGAATTTTTTGCTCCACTGGTGTCATTGCCGGTGTAGTATGTTACCTGTGTTGTTTCGATGCAGAATTTAGTCCAAATGCTCTGAAGTTTATCGAACGTTTAATTAAACGTTGTTTTCTTTAATCAATGTTTATCAAACGTTATTCTAACGTCTTTTGCATAGTATCTGACTAGTGTAATGTCGTGTCTTCCAGAAGTAGATTCTCATTGCTTGGCTCGCGAGATTCTGTGTGATAAGTAGTAGGTTGACCCGTCTCTAGAAAATGTACTTTTCCTTTCGCTGACTAGAAAATGTACTTTTCCTTTCGCTGACATGGTCTATTGTTTTGGTCATGTCATCACAATTTTTTCGTGGTTGTTTCCAAACTGACGTACGTCCACCTACAGTTCTCGAGGGCCTTTCAATTGTTGCGCGCGAAATATTGGCTACATTTTTATTTTACTCACCTACTTGATTCACTAATTGAAAATATTTGTGGCTAATGTGTATTACATAGGCGCTGTATATTTCTGGTTTTGTACCACAGCAACTGTGTATGAGACCGCGAAGCGGTACCCGCTCTCAGCATGTTTGGGAATCACTGCAGTTTGTATCTCTTACCTTGCCAATGACCCTTCGGCTTATGAGACGATGAAACACTTTGGTATCCATGGTGAAATACTTTGGTATCCTTATTGCTCAAAACGACAGATGCAACGGAACAAACTTTGTGATATATAGTTGCAAGTTGCCTGTGGGTCGAAGAGATCGCGTTTAGATGGAGAAGCCTGCGTCTGAAGCGAGCAAAGGCTCTGTCTGAGTCGCTAAGTCCCTCTGACGCGATGAAGCTGCCGGTGAGCTCTGCCTAAGGAGCTTAGTTTCTCCTGTGCTCACATCAACGTCTGCTCTCCTTCTTTTTAAGAGCTGCGCAAGAGGAAGCTCATTCTCTTCTCAATTTCGTTGAATTGATATATGATTGTTTTTAACGCATTTTCTCATTTATGGAAAAAAGGCTCTATTGTGCTCGTCATGTCCGTCCGTCTGTCCGTCCGTGACTTCACGTTTTCGTCGACGAGAAAATGCGCTCTGTCACTCACTGCAATGAGTACTGATGTAATATTTTTTTGTGGAAGGTGCACCATAGATGCGTTTTAAACGAAACGTCTTTCCATTTTACGCAATGTCCAATACGCACGTTGGTTTTAAAACGGGTTAAGAATTGTTTCAGAAGCTCGATGTTGGCTAAGGCTTATTGTTAAGGGAATTAAATTAAAATAAATATAATGAAAGCGGAAAATATTCCTGCAACAATTAAATGCCCGAGAGAAACAGGAGATCTGACTTGTTCTAACTAGCGTACGATGGCTTAATGGAATCAAAAACACGCCGTAAATGTAGCCGAGTGAATATCGCGTTCATTCTATGTATTTTTTCTTCTGAGAACACGATTTTATATTTAATAGAAAATATTGTCATTTATTTTCAAGTGTTTTCATTTTCAATGCGCTCGCTGCTGAACCAAGTCTCAATTCCTACTTGGTTAAATTGAATGTTCGAAGTATATCCCGTAGAGTTTTCATTTATACTTTTCATGATACTATATTTTCTGACCATTCACTGCAACTGTGCAAGTTTTCTATAAGCAACTCTACATTATTTATCTTGCTGCGCATTGAACTGATCTTTACAATACAGGCTAAAACGTCTGTACTGCGCTCAGGATCGGTAGTCGGGGAGGCGAGTTTAGCAATCGATCGCTGCTTGGCCGTGCAGACCGCCATGACAGCTTTGGGCTCTTCAGGGACGGGGCCATGTGCAAAAGGAAGATATGAAATTCAGATATACATGATATTCAGATACATATGGACTTCAGATGGGTATGAAGTTCAGAAGCATATGGAGTTCAGATTGATATGAAGTTCAGATGCATATGGAGTTCAGATGGTATGAAATTCAGATGGGCATGAAATTCATAAAGGTATAAAATTCGTTTGAGTATGAAATCCAGAAGCACGAGGATGAGAAAGTATGTATAACAACTGGAAATGATCTCGTCTAACACAAGGAAACAGGTTCTTTGGTATGACTGGGGTGGGAAAACATAGTTTCAAAACTGAGGATCGTTAGTCCATGTTCTGAGGATCGAGGCCATCGAGGCCATGTTCTGAGGATCCAGAACATGGCCTCGTTCCTCATCGAAAGTGGAGAAAAGAAAAATTTGGATATCCTGATAAAAACTGGTCGACAGAGTGGAGATTGTAGGTTAGAAAATGTTAGAGTATCCGGTAGTGGGCGCTAACTCCCCTCGTAAGGGGAGGGTAAGGGAGGTCATGTTTCTAAGGGAATAAACGGGGAGGAAGGAGCATGTTTCTAAGGGAGTAAAGGGGAAGGAAGGGGCGGGGGAAATTTGGCTGTGATTAAAGCTTGCATTTAGCTGAGCTGCGCAGGAGTGGGGCGGCTCTCGCTGCCAGGGAGGCCATTTCTGGCCGGTCGTGTTGTGCTTGCTTAATTCAAGTGCTGCTTCCGAATATTGCAGTGGCCGAATAGTTGATTGTTATGCGCTTTTACTTGAATAGCATTTACAAAACTGCGTATTTATTTAACCATTGCGTTGTTTAATTTATTTATGTGCATTGATTTCGAGCAAGTCATGTTGAATTCTGAAGAATACCAGAGATGATTAAGTTAGGTATTGTCCCCCAATCCTGGAAACTCCCATAGAGTGTTGGGTAATGTCCTCAATCCTGGAAACTCCCATAGAGTTGAGGAGGGGACGCAGAGACTGCTGTGGGAGGTTGGGGATGCCGTAGGATGGGAGGTTGGGGATGCCGTAGGATCCCCTCGGCGAGAGTGTGATAAGACCGTCCTGCTGCCACCCAGCATCAGCCTCAGTACGACACGCGTCCTCATGAGTGGCGGTCCTCGTGGCGACGCTCCTGATAACCCACGCCCTCACCAGACGATTACAAAATTCGCTTAATTATTCTCTTTTGTGTGCATTCGTCGAGTCCATATCACCCAAATTTGAGTTTGTGATCCTCGCTATGCCACCAACGTCAAAGCCTTATTCTTCACGCAGCAAAAGTGCGCGACCGAGCTTCAGTTGTCTCAGTTTGAACTGTCATGGCAGGAACGAACTCTAGCTGCTGTGATGCGCCAGCTTCAACATTCTTGTTTAGGATTTCCCCAGTGTTGTATTTATTTATCGACATTGAATAGAAGCAAGTAAGGCTTTATGCCTCAAACCTTCCGACACTTGAAATAAACCATTTATGAACGTTACCCACAACCTACACCTCAATATCATGTATGTTGCACTCGACGAACGTTTGGAATCTAATTCCAATGTATTACCAGTGTGAAAAGTTTCGTAAAAAAAACTTCGTGCTTCATTGCCTTGTGGGTTGAAAATGAGGCGAATTCTAAAGCGAAACCATCAGAAAACTGAAGATCAACGGAGTATTGCACGTCCATCACTAGAGAACATTTCCCCTCTGATACTGTGCATTTTTAAAAAACGGAGTAGGAGGGCTTATTCTGATTGATTCATTACGTTATATCGCGTCTGACCCTTCAAACGTACGACTATCGCAGTTCCGCCTTGCACGGCTGGACGCGCGATCAGCAATTGAAAGTCGAAGAAAGTTTCGATGGGTTTCTAAGGTTAATATAAATGATGGATTCTAAATTCTTCACGCAGACAATTACCATTTTGGATTGAAGAGAGCAGTGCTGTTGATGTTACTCGCTTAACGTGATAGTTTGCGAAATTATAGAAAAAGTGATAACATACGAATCATTTCGATGGGCGCTAGACGTCGGAAAAAATGTGTGCTTAAAGTAGAACAGTTGAAAAATATTCCCGGTGGTGTTAATCATATTTTTTAACTGTGAAAAAGGTTTTGAAAGTGTGAACTTAGAATGAAATACCGGATTTTATTGGTAAATGTGAATATCGCTCGCAATTGAAAATGTGATCGTCGCTGGCGCTCTCATTGCGTGTGTGTATGTCATGTCCGGTGATCGTGTAAACATCGACATGATATGAAACGCCGACATGTAGTAGAAAGTTGTCATGGTGTAGGATCGTGAAGCTGACTTGAAAAAATCGAGCTCACGTTGATGCGTTCTCGCAAGGCTCCGCGTTACCGGTACCCTGAATATTTTACTCTCGTAACGCACTATTCAATATTTTACATAAAATCAGCTCATGGGGCAAAAATTTGTAAAGTGTCTACTAAATAGTTTTCCCAGCTATTGATGGTTATTCAATAATAATCGCGAGTGTTTTTCGTCGATTTTGCCGGCCGCGTCAAATGCAACTTTTTTGGCATTTCTCAAGTCGAGATAACGTTCTATAAAATGCTAGTGTCGATCAATGTCCGCTTATCTCGCTTTCGTACGACGTGAAATCCGTTGGCGCTACCATATCTACTTATCTATGTCTAACTACAGAATTTGTCTGCTAAATTAATTAAATTCTGTCATAAAACATGATGAATTTGATGAAGTTTTGTCGCATAACGTGACCAATTCATGCCTTAAAACATGATGAATTGGATAAAGTGATGTCGTGAAACGAAGTCGTAGAACACGAGGGAAGTGCGATGTATCTTAGGTGGAGGAGCGCCGCTCTCGTTGTGGTGGGGTCTCCTCGCCCCATGTAGTCGCTAGCCTTCTTCTCCTATAAAATCACTAAAGTCTTCCAGAATCATGTGATTTTTAAGCTAAGGTAACGTAACGAGTCTTCCATTGATAAGCCTTCGCGTTCAATTATAAGTCGTATAATAAGCTCAGTGTCGATTAGAGTTACGGTGCTACACTTGGATTATGCGTAGGTCTGACTTCGTCATTCATGCCCTTCGAACTCTGTCTTCCGATGAGATTTGTAGTCTTTCTTGAGCGTCTTCCAATGTACGTGAACGCTTGCAGTAGCTAATCATTCTTTAAGTAAAATAGATCGTCTTAATTAAGGTTCGCGTTTGAATATCTGCCTTGGACATCATGCTCGTCAAGGCTCCTCCCGCCCTCTAAAACCCTCGGTGACCAATGACGAATTTCTTCATTTGTTGGCTCGCATCGTTATGAGCCTTGGCCACCTCGTCCGACAGTTCGGTCGTCTTATCCATCCCTGTAATTCAAGTTCGAAAGTTTAGAGCGTCTACGTTGTCGCTAAACATCTCGTCATAGTTGTATTGTTACGAGAGCGTTTTATCGAGACACGATCATGGTCGGAACTCCGATGAAAAATTATGAATAGACAAATATGCTAAATTTCAATCCCGCCGTACGGAAACGATTTTTTCACCCTTAGACATTTTAAGGGACGTTTAAATTCCGCTTATATTGTAAAGCTAGAATTATCCGCTCGGAGTAATGGTATAGTTGTAATGTCACGTCGCGGTGCGGTAGGAAGATCGAACAGCCCCGGGCTAGCCCGAGACTCGAGCAGCTCGTGGGCTCGATGTCTCGAAATTTCGCGTGTACGCGAGGAAAATCTTTACCAGTCGTCCATCCGCCAGTCGAGCGTTGAATTCCGTAATGTGGACTGCGGTCGCCCATCTCGCCGAGGACACTCAGTTCTAGGCATCAGCAGGCCGGACCTGTCTCCTTCCCGTCGCCTGGCTTCAGTGATCGAGACAGACGATACCTCCTTTGCCAACTCGTCTTGCTCAAGCTTGATGCCCGCGCTGCGTTCGTGCGTCACGATAGCTCAGCGTTCCTCCACTCACCGCTCGTCGCCCACAGCGTCCATCGCGAGCACTTCTGCCGCGCTAGCGACGGTGGACGAGCAATGGCCGCGGATGGTGGCCACGCTATTAGCGCAGCAGTCTGCTCTGCTACATAAGCTCGCTGCTGCCTCCGAGTGCCGCGCCAGCTCAGGCAGCGGTGCCGCTCTTGTGCCTCCTGTGATGCTGCCGCGGCGTAAGTGGCGTAACCGACGGAACCGACAACGCAAGAGATTACGGCGTCTGTTTTCGGCGACGGGTGCGTTTGTGTGCCCCGCGCCTGCGACGGTGGAAGATAAAGATGATAAATCTCCTCCTCGTCACGAGCGTTGCGAGAGAGACTCGTCTGTGGGTAGCTCGTCGCACAGCTCCCAGGACGAGCCGCCCGCTTCCAAAATCCGCCAACACACTCTCAGGTCTTACGTCAGGTTAGACATTTGAATTCGACCATTTCATCTGATCTTACCGTTATTATATAACTTAATAAATAATAAGCATTTCTGCACGTAGGTCTTATATGGGTTCGGCACTTGGTTGCTTATTTTTTTTCTGACTGCACAATAGTTCTGAAATTTACGAGATGTCTTCGCGTGCCTCTATTTGACCTTCGGAACTCGTTTGCGGGCCAGCCTTGTAAGTTATGCTTGGTGGTACGTTACCGATTTATGCCCGTTATTTATCTTTCGACGAACGAAAATCTCATGGATTTTTTGGTTTGTCAATAAAAAGAATAAATCTGTGTGATCACATATTGTAATGTGTGTAACGACGGTTTGCTGGTGTGTTGTGTTGCAGCGTTCACGAGACACACGCGGTGGCAGAGGCCCAGCACGAGAAGAACGCTAAGCTGAAGGAGGCGTTCGGCATTTCCGAGTATTTCGTGGAGGGTTCGTCGTTTGACCCGCAGCGGCGGGCGAAGGAAGAAGTCGTGCGTCAGGCCAGGGAGGCTGAGGAGGCGGCCAAGCGTGAGGCTGAGCGAGTGAAGGAGGCGGAGAGGCGTGAGGCGGCCAAGAAAGAGGCTGCTGCAGGAGGCGTCAAGACGTACGCGTGGGTACGGACTCCATCACCTGAACCCTCCACCGCCACCACGGACTCCAAACTCAAGAAAGACAAAAAGAGAAAGAAGAAGAGGAGTCGAGACAGGTTAGTTGTAGGACAAGTAGAACTTTTTTGACGTTTATTGGTCAAATTTGTAGAGATATCAGATTTTTTCTTTGAAATATCCATTTTTGTAAATGGTAAGTCAACTAAACTCTCAAGTTTGCAATACATTTATGTTTCTCTCATGATATAATTATGTGTGTCTTTAGCAAAATGGTTGTTGATGATGTACATGTTAAAAACTAAACGACAATTCCTCATCGAATCATTTCAAAATAATGTTTATACTGACGACATTGATGATAAAATTTCCTTTTGTCCAGGTCGTCGAGCTCCGAGCCTCCGAAGAAACACAAATCCAAGAAGCGGAAGCGGAACAGGTGAGGAGAAACTGTTCTATTATGTGTCATTAAAGATGAACTCCCCACGCTCGTGTCACTCACGTGGCTTATTCTTGTCTTGTGTAGTTATTCGTTTGTCTATTATGCCTCGTGGCTTGTGCTCTGCGTAGAAATATGAATTAATGGAATTATGGCGTGTAAAAATGTTCCCAACCGATACATTATCAGTCGCAGTCAGAGACATCTATTGATATCTCAATCTGGAGTAATATTATTTGTCATACATTTTCTAGGAACTTGACTCGTAAAATCAAAACGGCTCGAATTTAGCTCACTTTGTACAAAAAAATAAAACTCGCTGTTAAGAATTTGAGTTGCGAAAGTTATCTTGTATATAGAAATGTTACTCCTGTAAATAATGAAGCCAGTACAATGTCGCCTTCAGGTTGTATAGCATCATTTTAGTTCAAACGATCATCGTTATTTATGCGAATAAAATTCTTTGTATTTTGTAAGTTTATTAACAGCTGGTGATACGCTCGATTCCCGTACCTCTTTGAAACTGGTACTACAATCGTTTCGAGTACCCTTTGGCTAAATCTCTTCCAAATTCCCTGTAAAAAAATTTATATATCTGGATGTTCCTGCTATAGCTTCATCCTATGTAGTGTCAAAATTTATTTCAGCCGAGGTAAGAATTCGAAGAAAAAATGTGCCCTGGTCGTAGTTTACTTGGTGACGATCACTAGCCGCATTCGGTAAATTTTTTAGGATTATAACTTTATTCAGATATGGAGCTACCCAATATATTTTTATGTGGTCTTAATTTACGCGATACTTCACCTTTTACTCCCAAATTGTACCTCTTGTCTGAGTGCTGTTTTTACGAACAACCAGCATATTATCGACCAGGAATTACCAGCGTATGACCGTTCAATTTGTAATCAGTCATACGCATCTTGTTTATTTGTCCTCAGTTCCTTTCACTTGAAACTCGGAGATTTTGAAAATTTTAACCAGGTTTAAATTTCATGTGTCATACTTTATTAAATTACTCTTCAAATGCTGTTTTTTGTAAAATCATCTCGTTGCAAAACAAATACTTCATTACGAAAGTATCATTCTGAATTCGATTTGTACTTGAAGCCTAATTAATTCCGTCATTTTCTCTTTGGCAAGACTTTCCTAAACCAAGGTTTGTGGCAAAGGTAATCTCTCCTTAATGTTAGCCATGTCTAGTGATGCATTACTTTACACACTGAGCTGTACGAGCGACTGATGTGAAACACTTTCTCGTTTAGTCTTCACAGGCGGTGGGCTGTTTGTGGAGGGGGGTTAGGGTCGCGGCGGTTGACTGAACTGGGTTAGGGGACACTGTGTGGGGTTAGGGGGGTGCTTCGGTTGACTGTTTAGGAGTTAGGAGCGTGCGTTGTCGAAAAATTTGGGGTTGAGGGTTAGCGGTTAACTGCGTTGATAGGATTAGTTGACTGTAGGATTAGCACCTCCGCAGTTGACAAGGTTTGGTTGGTGTTTACATTATACAGTGGTTAAAACCCGCATTTCGAGGGTTTCCTAAACGTTTTAGATTCTATCGCCATCTCCGTCATGATTTCATGCTTTCAGATATGATCAGACAGGTTGATAGGTCGCTTTACTATCACATGCAATGTGTTTTGTAAAATTGACATGATCTAACATACATACAAGGTTGTCAATAAAAAGAGGTTTTCCTAAAAATTATTTTTATAGTCACTCAATTTCCTCTCGTCAGTCTCTTAATTATTTGCTTATTTGTTTATTTTGGCACAAAACGAGGACGTTTTGTTTTGTGATTTAGGTATGCATTTAATTCTTTGACAATGCGTTAATGTTATGCATCTTTAACGAATTATTTCTGGAGCTGTATTATGGACGTTAGATCTGCCCTTTCTGTCGAGTTCTTTTGTCTCCACAAGTATCCTACCCCTCACAGTTCACTTATCTCTTCCTTATAATTCCAATGATAAATAATTGATCATTAGCGACCATTTCAAGGCCAGAAATGGACATACAGGCTTTCAATCCGCCTTAGTTTCATGCATCATTTTTCAAATGAATAAAATTTGACGTTTCATTTTCTAAGACCGGCCTGTCAACTTCAATCAAATTAGCTGCGTGCTATTATTAGTTAGTGTGCGCATCAACTGTTGAACGCTTCATCATTTAGATCCTTTCAACTGACTCATCAGTTCAGTTGCCATCCATAATGTCTCCGTGTGATCTTAGTAGCATCAATATGACCTACCGCTTGAGCTCTGTTTGGTTACTGTGTAGGTGTCTGCAATTTCCACCTCGTTCTTCTCACTTATCTTTTGGTCGATCAAGCTTTGATATTCTTATCTCTCATGCATACTTTAATTCCATATATACTACTCGATGTACACTTGGTTATAATTGTTGCATTTACAAGAACTATAATTTCTATTTGTGTCAACCTTGAGCTCCTTACCTTTGATGTGTCTTATAAACTGCACCCAGTTTATCGCACCAGCGTCGCTGTTGATTCTTTTGCTTCTTGTTAGCTCTTGTCTCTGCCACTGCCCTGTCATGAGGTGTAGCATGTCACGTAATGTACCAAGGCCCGAGTTTTAATTCTAGAAGAGTGCTTGCCTAAAAATCACTCTTTTACCAATATTTAGATTTTTTCTGACTCGGGTAATTTGGATATTTCTGGTATCTCTTGAAGCAACATTGATATTATTCACGCACAGTTCTTACTTTAACTGTCGTAATAATACTTGCGTATTATAAACTAAAAAATTACACTTTTTCTGACCGTCTATTATTCTTAAAATGTTTTTTCCTGCTTAAACGAGGTATTGCATGATTATTTTAATTGAATTTCACCCATATCTCAGTTAAAACTACTATGTTTTACATGTTCGGCTACTTTATGCATTTTCTTTCTTTCTCATTTAACCTGGTAGAAAGGAAAGAAGTACCGAACATTTCAGTGCCCGGAAGCGGCCGGTTCCATACCACCGGCCCACGCCGCCCCCCGAGAGCGACTCGTCATCCTCTTCGTCGTGGTCCAGCAGGAGTCGCAGCCACAGCCCCCAGCGCCGGGGCAGCTGCCTCCGCCGCTCCCGCAGCAGGAGCGTCTCCTGGTCAAGACGACGCTCCCCTTCGTATGGCAGGACAAAATAATGTGCTTAAATACCTCCTTTGATAATGTGCTGAGTTATATACCTACTCTGGTGATATGCTTGATTACTTTTCTTGATGGGCCAAGCCATAATAACGTCTACCATCGATATTGTAACATCAAACATGTTATACTCGACTAAAGTGACGTGATTTATTGAGTCATGCGTGTAGATTGTCGTACATTCAGATTTGAAATCCTGTCATCAAGAACAGATCAATATCGCGCTATGCTCTGAAAATAGTCTATGTACAGAGCGAGATCCACACGTTTGCTGGTGCCATTCGCGCTGTTGATAAACCTAGTCGATGGATGAGAGGGTATAATTTGTTCTTGATCTTGAAGTTAGTTTGGACTAAAACATGTGTACGTAGAGCCGCCTCGCTTCTCAGTGTTGTTACTCTCTCACGAGAAAGAATCATGAGAGTTTATTGCTGCGCTGTACAAAGTATGTGTGTTATAACCTACCATTTATATTTTTAAGGTAATTGATATCTAGTTGGAAATTTATATCGATTGCAGTTGAAATAGAATCTTGATAGGAACATTTCTTAAACTTGACAACGTTTCATTCGATGCTTAGTATCATAGTATGTCTGTAACGTAAGTGGACATGCGCTGCGAAGCTCTGCGCGCTGGCCGGTCTCTTGACGAAGCCGTCTTGAATCGGCTCAACATTTACCTCTGTCGACCATGATGGTTCAGTGCTGACCTACAGCTCATAATACTGATCTTGGATCGTTTATAACGTTACCTGTTTGGAATGTTCAGTTCGCAATACCAAGTCCGATGCAATACAACTTCTTTCTGCTACCACTGCTGCGCAGCTCCAGTCTGCACATTAATTTGATATGAGATTTAACGCAATGTGGCAACCGCGAGCGTTTTGCTTCATTTATTGTATCTTTGAGTTGCTCTACGTCTTTGATTTCTAAAGGTTTACTCGAGTTTCCAGTTCTTTAGATGCGAAATAGATTTAAGTATCCGAAATACTTGGCTTACGTGTAAATATTGGATCCAAAAATTTTAAAAAGTTCTAGGCGAAGTCAAAGAAAATGCTCTCGGTTGCCAGGATGAATGTCACTGCTGCTGCTGCTGTTGCTTGGTTATATTAATGAAGCAAGCGCGAGGGGACGAGGAGTTGCAATGTCGAGCAGCGCCCAATCATTTCCAGAATCCAGATCATTTACATGAATTCATTTCATCTCCGATTTATTCTTGAAATTCACTGACCGATATTTCTCGAGCATCGGTCTAGCAAATTGTAATTTAAATTTCAAACTTGTGATTTTCGTTAAAGTTGAATAATGGGCTGAAGAGTTGTACAATGCAAAACACTATTGCAATTTTAATTTTTTAAAAGCTAAATGCACAGCCTTGGTGCTCCTCCTAAGCTTCAGGTCTCAGTAATGAAGCTGTTGTTAAGTTTGAGCAAATATTCACATCTGGAGGTAAAGTTTGCCTTCTGTGGTGTATCAAACTCTTTAATAATAATTTCAGTTCATCATTCCCTGTTTGTTAAAGACGCAGTCGCCCCAATAGACGCACTATCAACATTGCTCAGCAAATTTATGCAATATATTCTTTTGAAAATTAGTGCCATTGTCGTATGAAAAGTTGGATGTTAAAATATTTGTAGGCGATTTAATTTTTCTCGCGTGGTGAATAGTAATTGACAAACGAGAAGCGTATTCTAAATCTCGTGTCGTTTGTGAAGCCAACATGTTAGTGATGATACATCCTACTACCTAGTTATTAATGATACATCCTACTACCTAGTTATTAATGATACATCCTACTACCTAGTTATTAATGATACATCCAACACCCTAGTTTGTAATGATATGTGCAACGA